AGAGCTGAGAGTGATTGATCAGAGACAATAGTCATTAGTCATTGATCCTTTAGTCAAACAATAAATTCTGACTGTTCTTCATTTTAAGTCAAAGCTCTGGAGTCGAGTGGTCACCAGGCGTAACCATAGCAACAGTGTGGATGAAGCCTGAGACTCGTCCTGGTGTAAATGTGACCTCAGATCAGTTTTCACATTAGAACGTCTCACCTGCAACGATCCCCTCAGGTGGATTCAGAGTCAGCTCTGAAACACAAACACACACAGGTGAGACTGAACCGTCGGGCCTGACCTCTGACCCCCTGTACGTTACAATTCAAACCTGAACTCTGTTTAAACGAGACCAGGTCTGCATGAGCATGAGGTTAGCCCTAACACAAAAGTTAGGCGGGGGTGAAGCTTCTGAACTTATCTCCTTCGGCAGAGGAAACAATCCTTTATGAATGGAAAGGAGAAAATGCCTTCCCACAATTCTTTGCAGCAGCTACATTTAAAGCGACACACCCACGTAAATATAAAGAACAGCTGCTTTATTCTCATGATCCAGATGTGTGACATCTGTCAACAAGAAACATAAAGAACTTCTAGTTCACAACATCATCACAACTAAATGATTTCAATCCTCTGACTGTGGAATGGACACACTTTATTTTCCTCCACTTAGAAAGTGTTCTCCTTGTATATTCCTCACATTATATTATTTCAACATTTAAGTTCTGTTTGTCTTATTTTCATTTCCACTTAAATGTGTTTTGTAGTTATTTTCACAGAGCCCCTGAAGTCGCAGATCTTTTTTTTTTTTATCTTGAGCACATAGTTAAATATCAGCACGAGCTAATATCAGTGAAAAGACACGACTGACGATGATCCTGCATCACTGAGCAAGAACTTCATAATGTGTGAAGATAAAACTTGATTGGATTCTTTTTGTTCTGTTATGGTACAAACCTGGTGACTGGGAGCATCTGAATGGTTTAAACACAAACATGTTAACGTGAGCAAACAAGAGAAAAACAAGGGAAGTCTGACCGTCTCCACGCAGAGCTTCCTCTTTCCTAACTCCTGTCCTAAGTCCTTACAGCTTCTACTGCTCATCTTTCCCCAGTACTAACCAGTACTAACCAGTACTAACCAGTACTAACCAGTACTAACCAGTACGCACTGGTTAGGAAAGGAGATGATGAAGTGGTTAGACAAGGAGATGATGAAGTGGT